TGTGGAGGGGGGTGGGGAGAACCCTGTGGCCAGACCTGTGAGTGAGTGCTCAGCTCCAGGCAGGGCTGTGTGGCCGGTGCCCGGCTGGGGGGCGCTGGGAAGGAGCCTGTGGCCGCCTCTGTTAGCAGCAGTTGTTAACGAGTGACTGTCACCCAGGCTGCCCGGAAGTGAAGATCCTCCGGCCATCTGTGAGATTTCACCCCTAGTGTCCTATTCCGGAGAGGTGAGAGCGGGGCACTCCCTCTGGGCTTTTCTGGGTGAGAGCTGGATGCCTGGGTGGAGAGCTCAAGTGTTGCCTCAGTTTACCAGTGAGAACAATAGGTTTTCAAGTTGCAGAGGACCTTCCAGGATGAAGGGGTGGGGTGAAGTGTTGAGAGACCCCCGAGACCTTGTGGGGGCACAGGCGGGGAGGGTGAACCAGCTCGAGGGTCGGGTGTGGGCTGGCCAAGGGAGGGCTTTGCTGAGGGAGGGACGCTGGCTCTCTGTTGACATCTGACCCGGGTTGGCCCCGGTGCCTCTATGGGCAGTTCAGGCTGGGGCTTGCCCGGGGGCCAGAGCTTGGTTCACACGGGCCTGGGTTCTTGTCTCCTGGCCCTCCCTGGCTCCAGGTGGTCTCGGGAACCTGCCCGGGACATGGTTCCTTGAGAAGGGGATGTGGTGGCTGAGAGGTGGCCCAATTCTTGCAGGGTCTGGAGGAGTATCTGCAGGGCAGGGAGTTTCCGTCTCCCCTCATCCTGGACGAGGCCCAGGCGCTGCTGCTCCAGGAGTCGTGACTTGCTCCCTCCTGCCCACCCCGGGGTCCTTGGGGAGGACGCAGCTCCCAGTGGGGGCTCTGGGCAGGCTCTTGGCGTTTCCAGCCTGCAGGACCGAGGAGGAAACGTGTTGGCCTCCTCCATGAGGGGAGCCTCTCCTGTCCTCAGCTTGGGGACATCAGCTGATGCAGGCCTCAGAGACTGTGGCTGGCTCACGTGTTCTGTGGGGGGCCCGAGGGGTAGAGGGACTTGAGACGTCAGTGAATGGGGCTGAGAGGTGGCAACTGGCTCGGCCCAAAGAGGTGACATTATCTGCAGGAGATCAGGACTGACCCTTCCCCTGGACTCGCAAGTAGACATTGCTTCAGAGGGGTGCCACCTCTGTGATCTGGGTTGAGATGAAGCAGTGTCCCCCCTCGGGCTGACCGTGCAGGTCCACAGTGCGTGTTCCCAACCTCGGGGGGGGTGGGGGGAGGCCCCAGTCAGGGCCCTGGTGCTTTACTGTAGACATACAGACGGGCGGACCGCACTTGGGTGACGTGTTTAAGGGGGTAGCCCCCTTCCTTCATGGCAACTAAGTCAGCCCCTGCTCTTCCTGGTGTCCACCCAAGCCCGTGGCGGAACAGGACTGATGCCCCAATAGAGCCACGAACACTTGGTCTCCAAGGACACTGGCCTGAAGCCCTGGACCTGAAGCCCACCTCCTCTCCTCCCTTCTCAATTTCCCTGGAGGCCTTGGCTCCATGGTCACATTAGTGTCAGGGTTTAGGCTGCAGGGTGTTCGCGGGCTTCCCCGGGACCAGTGGGACCAACACCTTGCGCAGGTGAGGCCTGGGGGGTGGAGGATGCTGCGTGATGGGGGTTGACCAGGCCGGAAGCGCCATCCCTCACCTGGTTCCGGTCGCTTTTGACAGATTTGGTGCCACTGCCCCTCTCCAGCTCTCTCGGGTGGGGATACAGCCCCCACACTTGGTGCGGGGCAGGCCACGGGCCCTGGCCCCTCGTTGCACCCCTGCCTCTGCTGCTCTGGCCCCACTTCTGTGGACTCCAGAAAGGACAGCGAACCTACCTCCCCTCCTGCCACGCCCCCTGCTGCTAAGCCGCTCTGTCCCAGCCCGCCTCACAACAGCTCTCGGGCCCCACCGGGCGGCTCCTCATTGCCGTCGGTGTCCCCAGGGGAAGGGCAATGTCGAGACAAGCAGGGAGCTGACAAAGCTGGACCCAGGGGAGACCTTAGGGTCATCATGCCTTACAACTGTTGAACCAGAGCCTGGAAGACGACTGGGCTCTACCCAGACTCTGCAAACCTCACACTCAAACTATGCCTTAGGACCCTGCTTTCAGCCCCCTGCAGTCCAGCAGAGGGCCTGGGGTGGGGGAGTGGTCAGTGGGGCCAGGGTCCTGCCCACAGCCTGGTACACCGGAGCTGCCGCTGACCACAGCTGCAGCCAGTATGCGAACTCTTTGTATACAAGTGTAGTTAACTGGGTACTGTTGAGACAGCTCATTTTTAAACTTTTTATTTGAATTAAAGCTTCACCTGAAGTTGCAAGGAGAGTGCAGAGAGGTTCAGTGCACCCCTTCTGGTTCCCTCAGTGGTTGCCTCTTACACGATCAGAGTACAGTGCAAGCTGGAAACTTGACGTTGGGATAGTGTTGTCATTCTACACAAATGTAGATGAGTGTCCCATCAACACAAAGATGGCTCTCCGCCACCCCTTCTATCCACCCCCCCCCGTCCCTAATCCCTGCCAAACAATATGGAACAGCTCAGTTTTGAAAATGTTTAAAATCTTGATTTTCCACAAAAATAAGAATGTTTTAAATAAATGCAGTGTCCTGTAATTCTTGCCGCAGTGAGTGCAGTTTTTGACCAGCGTGTGGTCAGAGCAGGACTGGATGTTCACAGTTCTGTGTTGGGGCAGGACCTGCTAGGCCCCTTTGGGACCAGGTGTGTGCTCATTAAGGGTGAGACCGCGCTGGGCTGCCTGTGGGGCTTTGGTGGGATTTTCCTCATGCTTCTTTCTAGCTCTTCCAGGGTCTCGTGCCTGAGATAACCGGGTAGGTCCAGAACCCTGGGGACAGGGCCTGGAATCTACCCCTCTGATGAGTTCTCCAGGGGTGGGCTCAGGGACCCTCAGAGTCTGGTGACACTTCCTCAAGAGAGCCCACTGTGCGGGCAGAGATGTTTGAGGGCAGGGCTGGGAATGGCAACTGTGTGTGGGAAGAGGCGGGCTAGAGGGGAAAGTAGGAGGATCTGTCAGATTTAGACAAGCCAAGGTGCTGAGCTGCATAGACTGGGGAGCACTCCAGACACTCGGAAATGTTATAGCCAGGACTGCCAGGGAAGTGGGCAACGCGGCCAGAAAGAACCAGGTGAAGGAGGTTGGTTTGGGAGGAGGAGCCCTGGGGTGAGCTGAGCCTTCAGCCCTACAGAAGCTGCTTTACTGGGCTTTGGTTTTTCACTTAGGGCATTGAAAACTAAGTGCGCAGAGAAAAACCAAAAATTGGTGTAACAGTATATTTATTGTGAGTACATAAGATTCTCAGCAGTGTCAACCCAAAGTATAAAAGAACAGTGAGAGCGATCATATAGGTCATCGTCAATTTCAAAGGCGATGGCATTAAAGCACACCACAGGGTTTCAGAGTTCACAAATCACCAATGACATGCCACACATCCTAAAACGCAACCTCAAGTCAGACCCTGGAGTCCCTGCTTCTCGATGAAGCCTGCACATAATTTTCCCAAAGAACTCAATGCCTAGGGCAAAACGATCTCAGCTAAGCTGTTTACTAGGATATTGTCTGACCCGAAAGTGACTCTAGGGAACCAGTTTCTTAAAGGCTCAAGGTTCAAAAGGATACCTACGGGCAAATGGTCTGGGTGGGTCACCCCAATTTCACGACTCCAGAAAACTGGAATCAAGGAGAATCAAAATGGTTTTGTCGTGCGTGAACACTCGCACAATAAACTGCAGTTACTTAAGTGCACCCTGTGACCATCAGCTTCAATGGATGAAAACTGTCTCTGAGCGGCCTTGCTCTGATCCCACCGCATGGAGGAAGGGCTAGGGGTGTCAGGGGCGCAGTGGGGTGCACTTCAGCCACAGCCGGCCACAGAATCTGCCTCAGGTGGGGTCATGCTCGTCCCTCGGCCAGAACGTCCTCGCCCCACCTCAAGGCCTTTCCCCAGTGAGGCCCTAGCCTTCTCTGCAATCATGCGGCCCAAAGAATCCCGCCCGGAGTCCGCCAGACCTCGTGGGATGGCCGGCGGCCAGAGTGGCTGTATGGCCAGGCCCAGCGCCACCAGCTAGCCAGCCCTGCCGCCCCCAGTGCTGACCTCCCCGGCCTCAGCCAGTGGTCTTACTCCTGCACTGACGGGCGCGGCTCGCGCCTTCCAGCCATCCTGGCCCGACCGCGTCGCAGGTCCCGGACTCAGGCGCGGAGCGCAAGGGCTTCCCAACAAGATGGCGGACCGAGCCACTGTCCCCAGGGCTGCGCTCCTTCCGTGTCTCAGTATCTACCCGCGAGGCGAGGGGTCTGGCCCCAGGACTCCAAACGCGTCACGCATCAGCCAACTTTAACGCAGCTCTGGGGCAAGACACGACCAAAACAGGACCTGTCCTCGCCGCTTCCCGAAAAGCGCTGTAGTGGAGGAGAGGGGAGGGGTCACCAGATGGGCGGCGCCCGGGAAAAGACCTCGCCTCTGAGCGGAAACCACGCTGGCCCTGCTGTTAGGTTGTTTGGGAGACACTGCGAACGCGCTGCGGGGAGGTGTGTCACGCTAGGGGGAGGTGGGGGGGAGGAGGAGGAAGAGGAGGAGGAGAAGGAGGAGGAGGAGTACTCGGCGCAAGCGCAGTGGGATGTGAGCGTACTGCGTCGCTTTAGTATCTGTTCCACGCAGGCGCAGTGGGGAGTAAACCGAAGCGCTAGGGGCAATGAGGGCGTGCGCAGGCGCAATACGGTGCGATCGCACTGCGCAAGCGCCCCCGGGGCGTGGCGCGATGGGAGGACTGTTGACGGAGGCGCAATGGCTGCTCGCGAGTGTCAGGGAAGCGGTTTCCTTCAGAGTCCGGCCTCGTGACGCCGCCAGTGGGCGGGGCCCCCCGGGCTGTCGCCGCCGCTGTCATGTATCCGCCGTCGCTGCAGCCGCCGCCGCATCGGGACTTCATCTCGGTGACGCTGAGCCTCGGCGAGAGCTACGACAACAGCAAAGGCTGGCGGCGGCGCTCGTGCTGGAGGGTGAGGGTCGCGCCGGGCCGAGGCCGCCAGCTCCCTCCCCCGCCGCCCCTTCCTCCTGAAGCCCCAGTGAGCTGCAGGTCGGCGTCTGCGGGCCGGTAGGGGAGGTCCGCCCCTCCGGCCGGCTGTCTGTGCTCCTTCCCTGTCACTGGCAGCTCCTGCCGGGTCACCGCTGCGGGGGAGACCCGGGGTGTTTCCGTGTCGTATCAGGGCGCATGTTTGGGGGAGTGCTTGAGTCAGCAACACGGGGGAGCGGGAGTCTGGCTCCACTGCCTGTGCAATAGGACAGGAATAGTTTCGATTTTCTTTTTTTTCTGTTGTCACCTTACGTGTACTCACGAATTAAGTCATCTTTCGGGTCGTCCTCTGCGAGGGAACTTCTATTATTCTAACCATATGTGAAGGTAAAGAGATTTTCCCTTCTGTTCTTTTCATTAAAAAATTGTTCTCCCCCGTGCTTAGAAATGGAAACAGCTGTCGCGATTACAGAGGAACGTCCTCCTCACCCTCCTTGCCTTTCTGATTATCTGTGGACTCCTGTCCTACATGAATACGACCCACCACTGGAAAGGTACCTGAACCACCTGCACCTTAAAATGACGCTTGTGCTGACAAAGAACACCCGCTCGTAGCGGCCCCGCAGGGCAGGGTAGAACCGCCCCCTGGGGATTCTAAGGAGCAGCTGGTGGATTCGAACTGCCACCCTTTTGGTCAGCAGCCCTAGCTCTTAACCACTGTGCCGCCGGAGCCCTGAGTGTGACTATGAGTAGTTATCTTGCCATCTACCTTAAACAGCTCCAAGAGAGCACAAATGGCAACTGATTGGTATCCGATCAAGTTAAAGAGAAACGCAAGGGTTCGGTTCCTTCTTAACCACACGGCCTTAGTTGTGAGTTTGACGTTGCTCTGTAAGCGCTGGTATGTCCATCCTCTCGTGGAAATCAGGTCATGGGGCTCAATCTAAAGTAATTATCTTCGTGTTCATAATACCCGTTATTCCATGGTGGGAAAGGGCCAGGCAGTGTTTGGTAAGGACATAGAAAATCTCTTCTGATGATGGTGACTTGTAGGGGGAAGCTAAAGAGCTGCTTAGCTTGCTCAGATAAATGGCCTATTTGCCACCATATTTTACTTTTTAGAATGGAAAATATTAACATAAAGTGTTTGTGGATATGCATTGTGGATCAGGACAGAAGTTGTCAGATGCTTTGAGAAATGGCTTGTTCATTTTGGCCGTTTCTGAATTCACTGAGATGACTCTCTTCAGGTCTCATAATGTCCTTCTGAATAATGTCTGTGCAGATGTTCTTTATGAAGCATTTTAAATCTGTTTTATATCATGTGGCACGGTCTGTGATAAAATACACTTTGCCGTTTAGCCCTGAGTGGCAGGTCGTCCGAAAAGCAGAAGGCGCGACCAGACATCCCTGGACTGAAACCAGTAAACCCACCTGTCTTACCGGCTCCTCAGACGGCAGGTGCCGCCCAAGGCCTCCCGGAGATTCCCCCTCAGGTACTTTAATAAACGGCACTATACAGCCCCAAAGGCATTTGTTTGAAGTTTCTCTCTCTGTCTCACTCGTGCTGGGCTGGTGGACAGAACCTGGCGACAGAGCATATTCCTTCATTGGTCGTTGTTTGACGCCTGTGCTGTGCCCGTTCCTGGGTTGGGTGCTAGCTGTGTAACGATGGATGAGACAGATCCCGTCCCTTTTCTCTCAGAACTTATAAGCTGGTAGGAGAGGCAGGTAGGAAACATGTATGCATAGTGACACGTCCTGTAAGTTCTGTGAGAAAGAAGAGGCGGGTGCGTAAAAGAGTAACCGTGGGGGCAGGTCCTGGGTGGCCCGGAAGGCCTCCCCGAGGACAAAACCTTAGACGGGCAGTCTGCTTAGAGCAGGAGAGCACGGTTCCCACCGAGCGTGTGGGCAGGCCTTGTGGCGAGGAGCCGCTTGGCACGTCCAAGTTGTTGCAGGAAGTTCTGAGCTGCTGCAGCCTTGGAAGGGGCAGGAGAGCAGGACGTGCTCTGAAGTCCTGGTGTGGGGTCGGCAGCACGCGCCATTTCAGTTTACACGCACGGAGGGATTTGGGGCTGGGGCATGACGTTTCAGGTTTTAAATAGGAAAGGTGCCCTGTGGCAGTGTGGAGACTTGCTGGCTGTGGTCAGGACTGGGCAGCAGGTTGAGGGGGGGAGTGCTGTGTGCCGTGAGGAGGGACGAGGAGGGGGAGTGGGGACCTCTGGCTGAGGGCACAGTGGTGGCAGAGCAGGAGCTGGTCAGGGGACACTCTGGTGCTCTGCTGAGGGTCTTTCTGTCCAGTCGTGCCTGGGGGGCATGCATAGAGACTTAACATGGGGAGGGGGTGGCTTCAGGGTCAGCATGCAGAGGAGAAGTCTGGATGGGAGAGACAAGTGGTGGTGGAGGGGCGAGGGCAGAGCAGTCAGGAGGCAGCAGGAGAGCGGGACATGCTGTCAAGAAGGCGCTGCTTCAGGAGAGTGGCCACCTGGTCTCCAGGACACCTCTGAGAGCCGGGTAGTGTCACCACAGTGCACTGTGTGCCCAGGACCCGCCAGTGCCTGGGCTTTGGTTTGTGTTGCTGATGCTGTGGAAGAAGCTCAGAGTGAACCCCTTGGGGCCAAGTGGTGCTTTCATGCCCCTGCAGGCCTGTCCTGGAAGATAAGCTGGGCTGTCGGGTAGGCCGGGAGCACTTCTTGGTGGCATCAAGGGTAGGGCCAAAAGCCTCCTGAGGAAGCCCCTCCGCCCACCTAGATGCTTGAAAGTTAAAGGACAAGCAGGGCAGCCTGGGTCTGGGTGCTTAGGACAGATGTATGTGCCCAGCCCAGAGAGGAACCAGGAGCCTGCGCTGTAGGCAGGAAGCACCTGTACCTCTGGGTGCCCCAGAGGGAGGGGCTCAGGGGAGGGCTGGGTGCCTTTAACTGCACCATCTAGCATTTGAACAGCATCGGCCTTTGCACCTTTAGGCCAGCTTTCAGAGTTACATGAGTGAGCTATAAAAGCAGATTTGAGTCTGAAACCTGAAGCAAATCCATTATCATCAGATCTCTACCTTTCTGGAATATAGTAGGTTTTCAGATTTGAAGGAAAGTGGAGGTTTGGGGGGTCCAGAACTAACAAAAGAAAGAAAGGGAAAAAAAAGACAAATAGCAGATAGGGAGGAAATAGCAGCCATGGTTGAAATGGTGGATTAGTGGCAGAGTATACACAGGTTCCTGTAAAGCGATAGGAAAGGACACATCAGTAGGAAAATTGATAAAGGCTATGATCCGCTCGCCCCTAGAAGAAGAAATACTTTAGAAGAGATTATTAGCTCATTAGTAGTCAGGGTCAGAATCTTGACGATAGTAAAACATTAAAAAAATTTTCCACCCGTCAACAAAGTTGAAAGGAAAGGTGGTTAATGTCGCGTTGATCAGTGCAGTGCAGGGAATTACTTACCATGGTCCTCCTCACCATTATGCAGATAAGGTACTTGTGGCCCACCAGGGGGATTGGACAGCTTGCTAACAGTGCAAATAAGGTGCTTGGAACCCTTGCGGGGGGGCGGGGGGTAGTGGTGTTGCTGGATGCCCACGAGTTACTTCTGACTCATAGCGACCCCATGTGCAACAGAACAAAACACCGCCCAGTCCTGCGCCACCCTTGCAATCATTGTTTTGCTTGAGCCCATTGTTGCAGCCACTGTGTCAGTCCGTCACATTGAGGATCTTCGTCTTTTTCGCTGATCCTGTACTTTACCAAGCAAGATGTCCTTCTCCAGGGACTGATCCCTCCTAATAACATGTCCAAAGTATGTGAGACAAAGTCTCGCCATCCTTGCTTCTGAGGAGCATTCTGGCTGTACTTCTTCCAAGACAGATTTGTTTGTTCTTTTGACGGTCCATGGTGTTTTCAATATTCTTCACCAACACTATTATTCAAAGGTGTCAATTGTTCAGTCTTCCTTATTCATTGTCCAACTTTTGCACGCATATGAGTTTATTGAAAACACCATGGCTTGAGTCAAACACGTTAGTCCTCAAAGTGACATCTTTGCTTTTTAACACTTGAAAGAGGTCTTTTGCAGCAGATCTGCCACATGCCGTGCGTCATTTGATTTCTTGATGGCTGCTTCTGTGGGTGTTGATTGTGGATCCAAGCTCTGGATTTTTTAAAAATAGCTCCGTAATTTTTAGTAAGCACTATTTTAAAAAAATTACAAACAGCCTAAGTATCTGTCTTACTTCTGTTACAACATAAATACCACAGGTGGTGGGTTTAATGAATAGAAATTATTTTCTCACAGTTTAGTAGGCTCAAAGTCCAAATTCAGGGCACTAGCTCTAGGGAGAGGCTCTTTCTGCCCACTTTGCTGGGAGGTCCTCGTCTCAGCTTCTCTAATGTCTTTCTGTTCTTTGGCAACTGTTATGGATGGAATTGTGTCCCCCAAAAATATGTGTTGTAAATCCTAACTTGGATGCCTGTGGTTATAATCTCATTTGGGAATGGATCGTGTCTGTTATGTTAATAAGGCAGGATTCATGTAGAGTGTCTTGAGTCAGTCTCTTGAGGTGTAAAGAGATTAAACAAGAGAGCAGAGCAGAGATGGGGGAAGACAAGATCAGCCAGGAGCAGAAGCTCCAAGAGGCAAGGACCTTCCCCTAGAGCCGGCACCGTAAATCCAGGCTTCTAGCCTTCAGCTCACGTACTGTGGACGTGTTATCAGGAGGGACCAGTGTCTAGAGAAGGACATCATGCTTGGTAAGGTAGATGGTCAGCGAAGAAGAGGAAGACCCTCGATGAGATGGATTGACCCAGTGGCTACAATCACGAGGGTGGCGCAGGACCTGGCAGTGTTCCGTTCTCTTGTACGTAGAGTCGCTATGAGTCAGAACCGACTCAGTGGCACCCAACAACAGCCTCCTGGACTGTGAGAGAATAAATTTCTGTTTGTTAAAGCCAGTCACTGCAGGTATCTCTGTGATAGCAGCATTGGAGACCTAAGACACACGGTCAGTGGTTTGGCCATTTGGAAGCATGACCGTGTTACACAGACGGCAGCGACAGGGCTGCACTTCCCTGTGACTCGCTGTGTGGACGAGGGAGGCAGAGGTGTGAGTGCGCACCTGTGTCGGTGGCAGCACCAAGGCGAGGGCTGCAGGGACCCCAAGCTGTGGACAAGGTTTCTGGGGGGATACATAGGGTGGGGGTGCAGCTAGCAGAAGGAGCACAGCTGTGTGTTGTCTCCTCACAATGTGACCTGGATATGAACAGAAGAGAGCTTTCCAGACTCATGAGCAGGCACCTTCCTCTCCACGGGTGGAACCACATCTGTGCCCACCGTGGTGACTGGCCCCTGGCGGGGAGGACGTCTGCGCCTGCCGTGGAGCCTGGCTCCTGGTGGGTAGGGCATCGGCACACCCGCCCTGTGCTCAGACTCTATCAGCCCCACCGTCGGCACCCAGAGCCCTTTCTCAGAGCATTGATGAGGCTGAAGGGGCTGGAGGCTGGTTTGCTTCCGTGGGGCCTTTGTTATAACCCTTCCCTGTTAACCCTTTGAAGTCCCCCAGTTGCGGCTTGGACCCTGTGTCCAGGGCTGGCGTGGCCAGTTGGCAGGGTCTCCTGTCTAGTCAGAGCCAGGACATAGCTGGCCAGGAGCTCGTCTTCCAAGGCTGCATATCGTAGATGAAAATAATCCCCTGAAGTCGCGTGTGATGGTCCAGCCCACAGTGCCGGGTGGGTCTGTGCGTCTGTATTTGAGGGGCAAGTCCTGGATATAAAAGAATAGCAGTGCTGGGGAACTGCGTAACTGTTACCTGTGACCTAATTTTTGTGTAGAAACCTCGGAAGCATTCCCGACGGGGACCTCCCAGCCTGCAGATCAGAGCCCCTGATAAAGACGTGAAAGACAGGATTCAGGACCGGGTGGAGCAGGAGCAAGAGGAGCCAGGCAACGCACACAAGGAGAACTCGCAGAGAACCGTCATCAGGTACAAATGTGTCGAGCAGTCGCTGATCACCCGCAGCTCTGAGGCCAAGCCGACCTGAGAAACGCAGATAAAGAGAACCAACAATGTGCTTCATAGAGATTTTCCACTGATACGTACAATATGTGCTTTGTAATTTCTTGGTGAAGCTTTAATTGGTTACAAAACCAAAGTCAAAGAACGGGAAGTCAGCCGAGTAAGTCTCCGGCCCCTCCTCTCGGCATGCATTGATGTCTGGGCACCTTGCGACTTTACTTTCTCCTAGGGCGTGTGTACGGAGAGACGGGCAGGCGGGGGAGGAAGGGACCGGATCTCAGGCCTGGGGAGCCCTTTGTGGGCAGTTGCCATGGGCACAGACTACGTGCCGGCTGGGCCTCCTCCCTTCCTGAGCCCCTTCCGCGTCGGGCGGGAGCAGCGTGGGGGAGGATGCTGTGCCCTGCCCTCTGCGTGGTGTCTTGCGTCAAGAGCCACAGCAAAGGCGCTAAGGGGCAGCAGCTTCCAAGCATTGCTTCTCTGGGAGACATTTCCGTCTCTAGAGCACGGTTCCCTGTGATTCATGGTGTGCTCTGAAACCTGATCCTTAAGTGTCAGTGTCGGGGGCAGCATTTCCAGCTCGCGCTCTTCACGACGGGCTCAGCTTTTCTGGCTTCAGTGGCCTGGAGGACAGGCTGTGTCTGAGGTGCTCGGGTGTTGGCGTCCATCCTGTGGCGAGCACATTGCCGTGGTGGGCACCGTGGAGGTGCTGTCCGGTGGAGGAGCCCTGGCTGGCGGGATGCCCCACAGGTCCCTGGGCTGTGGGGGTGTCAGTTCCCTCTACCCACAGTGACCCCGCTGCCCTGATGTCCTTGGCTCCACAGAGCCTCAGTGATTTCAGTTCTGAGCATGAGTAAATCGAGGGCGTGTCTGTCACGTTGCTGCTTGTCAACAAGCCAGCTCCACACCTGGCCCGGGGCCTGGTAGGAGAAGCAGAGTTTTTGCTTTGCCAGTGAGACTGCAGGCCGCCCGGCCCCTGTGCCATCCCCATAGTATTGTGTCTCACCGTGCCCGGCGCAGCCTCAGCCCCCCGGATGTGCTCCCACCTCTGGGCCTCGGGCACCCCCCTTTCCAGAACAGCCCTCCGTGGCCCCTCAGTGCCTGCCCCCCATCTCCCAGGGACAGTGCTAGAACCTGCACTGACACTGGGGCTGTGGTTTCTCTTGGCCTTTCAGCCTGGCACCTCGGTGAGCTCGGGCCCACTGGGTCAGGCAGCACCAAGCGCCCACGAGCGCCCTGTACCCACAAGCACACGGTGTGCGTCATGCTGGCCGCTGTGCTGACTGCTCTCTCCCTGTCCCACTGAAGCTGGAGAGGAGCTGTCATTGAGCATGAGCAGGGCACTGAGTCCCCATCCAGAAGAGCAGACGTCCCCACCAACCGGCCGGGCCCAGAATCCAGGACTCAGAAAGCGTCAGGTAAGTCCTGCCTCTGCCCTCATGGACCCACCCAGTGCCTCTCATCCAGGGTGTGGTGACGGGGGTACAGACAAAGCATTCGGGGGCGGTGTCTCTGTGTCCCTCGTACCTGCTGGTTCCAGCACCCCTGGCTGCCCCGGGTCTTAGCCTTGCTTCTCTGTGGAACCTGGGAGAACTGATGAGGCCCCGGAGTCTTTTCCCGGGGTGTAAGCAATGACGGGAGGCAGCGATGCATTGGCTGGGGAAGGCTGACCTGCCCTGGGCCCGGGCCATCTTGGGCTGTGGGACGTATGGGACTCCTCTTGGTCTCCAGGCCGTCGCAGCGCCTGACGCTCCCTAGGATTGCGGGGTCCAAAAGCTCTCCCGGTGCCTCACGGTAGAGACGGAAAACTGATGGTCGTGTGGGGGCTGACACCAGCGCCGCAGAGTCCAGGGCCCAGGCACGTGACCCTGTGCTGAGCCTTGCAGGGACCCAGAGCCGGACTCACAGTCCTGGGCATCTCTGGGGAAGCACAGGGTCTGTGGGCATTTAGGGTGGATGGCCAGGCTGTGGGTGTCAACAGGAGTAGGCTCCAAACCAGGATCAGAGAGGTTTGGTATGAAGACATTGTGTGTGTGGTGCTTACGAAGGGGATGAGAACAGCGCTCCCCAAGTCATGCTGGCCGCCTCCGGGAAGGGCTACCAAGGGGACTTTGGGTGGCTATGACATCACTTCCTCTCTGAAGCCGTCTGGAGCTGATAGGACAGAGCATTAATATCTGCAGGTTTAGGGTGTCCTTGTAAAAATCAGATCTGTCCTCGTCAGTGTTGAATGTCTTACCCATACTGCACGGCCAGGCCCCTGTGAGCTCCATGGCCTGTGTGTGCTGGAGCACCTCCGCTTGCCTGGGGGACAGCCCACATCCCTTTCACCAGAGGCCGCGCCCAGGGACATCACCTGCCCTGGTGCCCACAGGGCTGGGATAGTACCGGGTGGTCTGGGCTGGCGCATTTCTGTATCTTCCTGACACCCAGGAGGTGGGGCGCCGTGGCCCTGGTGGGCGAGTCCGACTTGGCCAGTCCCCGCAGCTGGGTGCCCAACCTTCGCTTCTCATTGCTGCCCTCTGGACCTGGACCCACCAGTGGCTCGGTGGCGGCCCTCTGCCCACACTCAATGCCGTGCACTTGGGGAGGTGGTCAGGCAGCTGCACTGGGGGTCTCTGCCCAGGGAACTGGCAAAGGCCCCCCGGACTCCCCATTCCCCCAGTGAGTGGCCCTTCTCCCGCTTGCAGCTCCCCTGAACAAACGCCAGAAGGCTGTGGTGGAAGCCTTCCGCCATGCGTGGAAGGGCTATCGCAAGTACGCGTGGGGCCACGACGAGCTGAGGCCCCTGTCCAAGTCCTTCGGCGAGTGGTTCGGCCTCGGCCTCACCCTGGTCGACGCCCTGGACACTATGTGGATCCTGGGCCTGACGAAAGGTATCTGCTCTTTCCTGAGCCTGTGGGCTGCGTCTCCAGGTAGCCTGGGGAGGAGATGAACCCAGAGTCTGGTCTGTGCCCCCGGCCCCCAGAGTCTCCATAATGTCAGCTTTAGACCATGCGGTTTGTGTTTGATTCTGGATTATGTGTGCCAAATCTGTCACCCTGATGTGTCTAAGCAGTGTCTGTAGTTATTTCTAAATGAATATTTTAAACATTTTGCTTTTAAGTTTAAAGTTTTCTGAACAGGTTAAAGGCTACCAGTAAACTCATTTATGCTGTTCTTGGTGTAATGGCCTTTGACTGTCGACCACGTGTGCTGTCACCTTGTGGGGACTTCCCCAGGTGCACTGCTGGCCTCCTTTTATCTGTACATGTTGGAGAAGTCAAGGTTCACTCCTGGGAGTAAGAAACAACATTGAAACGCTGCAGGAACACCCGCAGGGCCACAGGTAGACCCAGAGCGCAGGTGAGGGCCGCAGGTAGACCCAGAGAGCGCAGGTGAGGGTCCTGCAGGAGCAGATGCCCCCAGGGCCGCAGGTAGACCCAGAG